TTTGGGTTTTTTTTTTTCCGGACTGCCACACCTGCCAGCTAGATGTAAAAGCTTAGCGGTGCTAATGGGGAGGTGTGATGGATGCCCCCCCTCTGACCGAGTGAGCAGTGCTTTGGTTCAGGCATCAGCGACAAGCGGGCCTGACCGATACCAGCCCTGCCAACCCTGAGAACCGCATCTTCTCAGGGACTGGGGCGTCTAGGCCATGTCTTATCGGGAGGTAACAGCAGCCCGCGCTGGGACTAGGCAAAGCTAAAGCTGCCACAGCTGCGCGCCTGCACAAACACCAAGCGGGGGTTGACTGCGAGTCCATCATTTTATGCTCCACATGCCTGTAGCCTCCCCGAGCCCACTGAGCTCCCCTGCACGGCAGCGATCTCCCCCTGGAGCAGGGACACCTCTCACGGTTGCTCCTCGAGGCTGAGAGACCCTTTACTCGGCATCTGATATCTACAGCAACGTAAGCGACATTTTTACATTCAGCCTAAAAGTATATTGTATGCTAGCGACATTGAGATATATATGTATCCAGCTTAATTATTAGAAGTGTGGTCAGAGGTAGAGTGTTTGACCGCTGCCTAAATTATTGTTTAAATCATCGCTTAAATCATTGTCAAATCACTGTTTAATTACCATTCAATTATTGCTTAATCACCATTTGATTGCCATTTCATTTTCATTCAATCGTCAATTAATTATCATTTGACCATTGTTTAATCATTAATAAAACCCTTTTAGTTAACCCCATGACGATGACTTCTCTTAATAATTTGCCTGCGATAGGATGCTGGCCCCACTGGCTGCACGCCGGGGGGACAGCACCTTCAGGCTTCAGGGGAACGGCAGGATCTTGCATGCTCTCCACAGCAAAAAGCCTGGGGCCCTTCCAGTTTCCTTGTCCTGCAGCTTTTGTGTTCTGGGTCGAGCAGGGGATGACTTCTCTTAATAATTTGCCTGCGATAGGATGCTGGCCCCACTGGCTGCACGCCGGGGGTACAGCACCTTCAGGCTTCAGGGGAACGGCAGGATCTTGCATGCTCTCCACAGCAAAAAGCCTGGGGCCCTTCCAGTTTCCTTGTCCTGCAGCTTTTGTGTTCTGGGTCGAGCAGGGCTCCTGTGGCTGGGGCCCCGGAGTCTAGTGGGGAAACTGTGTGTGGTGGGGCCACCAGTGCTGGTATGGTAGCCTTGCTGGGGAAGTACTTATGGGCTGGTCGTCGCTGCAGGGCCCTGGCAGCTCTTGCTGTTGCACGGGGAGACTTCATCTGTAGGGGCTGAGGGACATCTCAAAGGAGTGCTGATGTCTGCTACTGTGCCTGTGCTCACTTTGGGTGTCCTGCTCAGATGTCGCGCCCAGAGGAACTGGCTGCTTTGGCAGATGAGGACCTGCTTGACTTCCTCCTGAAGGATGATGCTCCCTGCCCTGAAATCCCAGGGGAGGAGAATGGTCTGCTGGAAGACTGGGGCCTGCCAGAGCCTGAGGTGAGTTCTCTGGGAGGAATCGCTGCCGGGTTGTGGTTCAGGAGGTTTGGCTCCCTGCTGAGTAAAAGCTTTTTCTTCACAGCTCCTGGACAAGGAGATGGATGTCTTCATCAACTCCCTGCTGAGCGCCTTTGAAGATGAACCAGGCATGCTGCAGGGTTATTCGCCTGCTGACAGTGACAGCGGCATTTATGAGGATCAGCATCTGTCCCATAGCCCTGGCAGCGACTTTGCTGGCAGCCCTCGGAGCTCAGACATTGTGCAAGTTGATCACAACTATTCCCTCCATCAGGATTGGTCTGCGCTGGAAAGCGTGAGGTCTGACATGGCAGAAGGAGATGTTTCCATTGACCTTGGTAAGTGATGTGTGAGGGCTCTTTCGCTCCTGGGTACAGGCAGAAAAGCAGTCCCACATTGGCATTTTTTGGGTGGGTGCCAGGCAGTGATGGAGAGAGCCGAATTTAGTGGCTTTCTGCTGCTCTAAAGTTGCAGTTTCATGCTTCTCAAAGTCGGCTGGTCAGGTGCTGCCTCACTGAGGCCCAGCGCTTGACTCTCGTTTCCTTCCCCAGAGACATGGACGGGTTTGGAAGGCACAAGCAAGGCTCTGGAACAGAGCTCTGGTTTCCCCATTGCTGTTGCTGTGGATGCTGAACCCCAGCTTGTACCTGGAGCCATCATGCAGGTACTGATGGCCATGCCTGTGGGCCTTTGCTTCTGGTCTTTTCCTCAGATATCTCTGAGGAAAGCATGATGCTGCTTTGGGAGAGCTGATCCCGGTTCTGTGTGCTTCCTACATGCCCTCTCTGCCCTGGAGTGGACTCCCTTTACTTTGCATTCTCAGCGGGCATATTTTTCCTGTTTTCTAGTCCGACTTCCCAGAGCTGGTCTTGACAGAGGAGGAGAGACAGCTCCTGGAGAAAGAAGGTGTTTCATTACCAACCTGTCTGCCACTGACCAAAGTGAGTCCTCGCTACAGCCTGTCACTCCCAAATGGACTTGGACCACTCGAACGCTTCAGCCAGAGCAGGGCTTTGAAAATACAGGGTGGTGTCTTGATGAGAGCATGGGTGCCCAGGTGCTGTGTTCAGGGCAGCATGCGGCAGGGCTTGGTGTCCTCTTCCTTTCCTTGGTGTGTGTCCGCATGCACAGCAGCCTCTGCTTTGCTGATCACATAGAAAAGCTGCGTGCTTTTCATCTCCCTTACGTATGCCTCACTTTTGCTACACCGGGGAAGCTGCTGGCCGCATCAGCAGGCCAGAGTTTGCCTTGCAGCCCCTGCAGTTCGTTCAGTGGTGTGGGAGGGACAGAGGACAAAAGCATGCGGGCCAAGCGCTGAGATGTGTGCAGGGTTTGTGAGGGCTGGATTGCAACGCCTGTGGGGTTGCTGCTAATGAGAAATGACCCTTGCAGGCTGAAGAGCGGCTTCTGAAGAAAGTGCGTCGGAAGATCCGGAACAAGCAGTCAGCCCAGGATAGTCGTCGCAGGAAGAAGATCTACGTGGATGGCCTGGAAAACAGGTATGGGCACACAGCAGAATCACCCAACACTGAGGGGACAGACAGGTTCTTTTAGGGATCCTTGGCAGAATGATGATGGCACTAAATCGTAGTTTCAATTAAAGCGTTGCGTTCTTAACGTTTTATGATTAATGTAGCACAGAATTTTTGATTAGAATGGCACAGGATTTCTACAAGCAGAATCAATGTAGTACAATCTATAAGCAGCATAATACAGAATTTATAATACAACTTCACTTATAAGTTCTAGTCACCTAGATCCTAATACAACTGAACTTAGGGTTTCTAATCACCCGGACCCTCTGCAGATCAGGTCGGGTCAGATCTTAATGCATGGTTTTCTGAATCAATATAAGGATCATAATCTAGACTTGACAATGACATAAAGGAATACGAGTCACTCCCTCAATCATGGGAGGAAGCAGATGACGGCGGCAGTGTCTGTGGCCAGGGCGGGTCCCAGGTCTCACTGTCCAGCAGCAGCTCCAGTCCAAGTTCCCCCTGAGGACTTCTAACTGCTTGATTTTATGGACAGTGCTCTGTGTGCTGTTACGCTTCCCTGCTCTGTGACAGGGTTGTCAACAACACCGGGCTGGCCGGCTGCCTGGGACCTTCAAGGCTGGTGAGGAAGGGGTAACCGGCCCAGCACCCAGGAACCTTGAGGCCGGCAGGGAGGGGAAGAAGAAATCTGGTTTCTCAACTTGGTGCCAGGACCTTCAGGGCCTGAGAGTGAGGGGAAGGGAACAAATACGTGACTCGCTCGGTCACAGAGAATGTCTGCTCCCCTCATAAAGTGGCGTTTGTTGTGCTGACCACATTGCCAGGGGTCGGGAGCAGGGGGAACCGGTCAGAAGCAGCTGTGCTGCTGATGGGGTCTTGCCACCCTGGGCAGAAAGCGAGGCTGACCCTGTGGGGCAGCAGCTCTCCCTGATCAGGGGGCTCAGAAGCTTGTGGCATAGCCTGCCCTGCTCTCTTAAGCCTGGAGACGGCCCAGAGCTTGCTCTGTTCAAGCCGGGTGCTGGCCTGCCAGGTCCAGCGTGTTCTCCAGGTCAGGCTAGTTTGCAATACAGCCTGACATTGTGGATCTGCAGGGCTGGTGTGCTGCGAGGAGTGAGCATCCTTAGGGATTAGTCTGGTGCTTCTCTGTGGGACTGGGCAGGGCTTACCCCTCCTGAAACCTGGTGTGAGATGTTGCTCTCTGGGCTTTACTCCAGGTAGACCCCAGGAGCAATTTTATCTGCCCCGGCCACCCAGAGGTGGTGGCCGATTCCCTGAGGAGAGACTCTGGTGAAGTCCCTGCTGTTGACTAACAAAAACCTCTCTGTTTTTCCCCTGTGCTGTTCGTCTTTCCTGGGAAGGGTGGCAGTCTGCACAGCTCAGAACCACGAGCTGGAGAAGAAGGTGCAGCTGCTGCAGAAGCAGAACATGTGAGTTCTTATTGTTGGACGTGGCAGGAGATGTGGTGGGGAAGGCTGTTCCTCTTCTTGGGATTGTGGCCTGTCCTTGACTGCACAGGGGGGAGGAGGGGAGCGTGCAGCTCTTGGTTCAGCCGCTGCGCTAACCTGCGTTGCCTGCTCTCCTGCAGGTCACTGCTCGAGCAGTTGCGGAAACTGCAGGCTTTGGTGAGACAGTCCACCACCAAAACTACCACAGCAAAAACCTGCACCATGGTGAGTGCTCTCAGCCCCAGTGTCTGCAGAGGGGTCTCTGCTGTCTGTATAAGTTTGGGAGAGAGGTGTTTATGGCAGCCCATGATGCCTATTCGTGTCCTTTGCTCAAGTCTGTGCTGATCTTTCTGTTTCCAGGTCGTGGTTCTGTCCTTCTGCCTCATTCTCTCCCCCAGCATTGGCTCCTCTCAGGGCAGACAGAGCACCTTCCTCAGAGACAGCCCGAACTCTGGGGCTCCTCCAACCCAGCGGCCCCTCGCCTGGGGTGACGGCTAGCTTTGGCTTTGCTGTCTCGCTCCAGCTCTGGACTCTTCCTCAGCTCTATTGCAGAGGCCCACCTGGGGGTAGGGCCCTGGGCCAGGAGCGGTACAAGAACTGGAGGGATCCAGTCCCCCTCGGAGCACAAGCTGTGCTTCTGCCTGGCAGCCGTGCAGCGTCCTCTCCCTGCCTCCCCTGGGAGGAAGCAGCCCTAGTTGAACAGTTTGTTCCGCTCTCGTGGTCTCTGCGGCAGCCCGTGCTCAGAGCAGGACGGTGTGAGGCTGGGAATGACAGGGCTGGCTCTACCTCTCTTGCAGTGCTGTCACGGCAGATCCGTGAGTTCCCAAACCGGGTGGCACCTGATGTGCAGGAGGACGCCGCGCTGGAGGGGTTCAGCCCAGAGCCTGAGGACCCCTCGCTGTTGGGCAGCCTCAATCAATCACGGGACGAGAGGCAGAGTCCACCCAACCCCGATCCCAGATCTTTCAACAGCAACTCATCCTCCGACCCTCCGGTGGCAGCGGGCTCTGAGCTGGGCCCTCCCCAGCCACAGGAGCAGCGTTCCCAGAGCGACCCTTTGCAGGCAGTGGTGCTGGCGGTGGGGAAAGCGAAGAGGCCGGAGTGGACGGAACACGCTGCCAGGGTTGTCATCCAGCAGCACCGAGCCGATGAGATGTGACCACCGCCGCCTCCTGCCTGTCGGGGTGACGCTGGGCACCCTGCTGGGCAGGGACAAACAGAGCTACATTAACAGATAATTTATCAAAGCAGATTTTTCTGAATACCCTCCCAATGGCTGGCAGCTCAGAGGGTTTACTGGGGAGGAATTGTTTTAGGGTTGACATGTTCTGACACTCTGCTCTGTGTATCTATAGCAGGACTCTATCCCAGACGGGGCAGGAAACTCTGGGAACGTTGCTACGGCTGCTGATGTGGCTCTGCAGCCCGGGGTGCGTCCCGTGGCTCGTGGGGATGGGCTGTGGCATGGGGATGGGCTGTGGCATGGAGGGTGAAGGCGGTCGGGCCTGAAGGCGCCCGTACCTGGTCTGACTGGATGCAGTTGGTGATGGAGGCCACTGCCCTGCTTCTTCCCTGCCCAGGTGGAGGTGAACAGGCTGGGTCCTGCACTTCTTACTGTGTCTGGTGGCCACAAGCATCTGTCCCTTGTCCTTCCCCCTTAATCCTGCAGTGTTACCTGATTTCTAGCTGTGAGATAGCTGACCTTCAGTGCCTGCACAGGGAGTGGCCATGCCTTTGCAGACCTGTCAGACCCTGCGTGTCGCCTGTTCCTGCTAGCTTTTGAGCCACGGCCGCAGCTCCTGGCGCAGCTGGGGAAGGTAACGTGAAGTCCTTCCCAAGCTGTGCGTGCCGTTTCCCTTCCGTAGGGACTGAGCCTTTCATGTCCCACAGCCCTGGGAATGGGGCTTCTGGGCCTCGAGCCGGACTGCTGAGGGGGTGTGGAGCAGAGAGCAGCAGAGCTGCTTGCTCTTCTGAAGGCTTTCCTGGCCACTGGACGGTTTCAAAGCTGTGTCCTCGTGTGCCCGAGCTTTGCTGCACTGACCGGTGATGTAGTCATCTGGCTCTAGTTGCTCCCTGGGGCTGAGCAGAAACACTTCGAGCTGGTGAGCGGTGTCTTTCCTGGAGTGCAGCTTAGTGGTACATGTTGCGCATCTCTCCTCATCCTACTTCAGGACATTTCATAGAATCCTATAGAATGGTTTGGGTTGGAAGGGACCTTTACAGATTATCTAGTCCAATCCCCCTGCAATGAGCAGGGACATCTTCAACCAGATCAGGATAATTCATAATTTCTGCAGTAATAACATGTAAATAAATACTAATCACGTGTGACTGTCCCCTCTGCGGTTGTTTCGGTGAGGGGCTGCGCCAGGGGCTGGGGGGGGACCGTTCACTTCCGCAGCCTAACGAAGGGGAGAGGGTGCTGCCTTCCCTTCCCGTGGCTGCGGCTGTGCAGAGGAGCTTGTTGAGGCACGGTGCGAGTTCGCGGGCTGGTTGCTCTGCTCTCACCCCCCTTCAGGGGTGCGAAAACACCCTTGAACCACCTCTACAGACCAGTGAGTGTTGTGAGCACCCAGCACCCACGTGTGACCTGCGTGCACCCAAGACACCAGCGCCGCAGAAGCGAGCAGCTTCCCCGGTAGGAAGCGCGAGGAGCCGGTGTCTGCCCCCACCACCGCTTTCGTAACGGGGAGCTGCACAATCGCAGGAAGCGGAGCAGAGCCAGGGTGGTGCAACGGCCCTGTCCCCTCAGCCGGGGGCCGTGGGGAGGGCCCGGCCTGCTAGCTGGTTGCTAAATCAGGGCTGGGCCCTGGGTTGGGATCGCTGGGTCCACGGGAGGCACTAACGGAGCCTGAGCTCAGGCTGCGGAGCCCGGCGTGGGGTTTGGGGGCGTGGGAGCCCAGCGAGGCGATGGGTCTGCACCCACCCGGGAGGCAAAGGGTGGTTGTGCAGGCCAACGAGCTGTAAAATTGAATGTTGTGTCTCTGCCCTGGGGAGGAGAGACCGCCAAGGGGAGGCTCACCCACGGGCCCTGTCTCAGGACAGGCAGCAGCACGCTCGTAACAGGGTCAGGTCGCAGCTCTGCCCTGGCCGGGGCAGGCAGCCCGTGGGCATCCCCGGGGAACCACTGCACCTTTCTCCCCAGGAGCCGTGCGCGGTGGCAGGAAGGGCCGGGACCCCGTCCGCGCTTTCGTTTCATTTTTTGCAGTTCAAGGCTGGGGTGCGTAATGCCACTGATGTCACCTGGAGTCGCTGGCCCAGCACTAAGTGATACTGCATAAGTCATCTGAAATAAAACACAATGGTGTTGCCAGCAAAGCAGGGAGTGGCCACCAGGGCCGGTGTTGGGCCAGGGGCAATGGGGTCAGCACCGCGCTCCGCAGTGGTGTGGCTCGCGCAGCCTAATGTCAGGAGGGGA